AACTCAATCCAAGTGCTCTAAGCCATAACAGCACCTAATAACTCAATCCAAGTGCTCTAAGCCATAACAGCACCTAATATTCCAAATAAATACATTCAGACTTTACTAGAATTATTAGCACAACCTCGCAAATTTACTAACCAATGAACTTCACACGAAATTCAACCATAATATAACTCACTTTTATTCAAAACCGTATATCTACCCAAAGTCCAAATATTTTTAAATAAAATCATAATATCCAAAAAAATCTCTTAAACAAGAGGTTTTAAAGCCAAATTTCACCAATTTGGTTTCCCAATCCCACGGACGCAAAATGGGAAAACATGGCTTGTATGTCAATCATTTGTCTTTTGGAAAAACAGGGGCTAAGACATGGGATCTTCATAGATAGCATCATAGCAGCCAATTCAAGGAAATTCTACATAAATTAAACAAAAAAAAAAAATGCAACCTAATGCTGCCGAAATTCTTCCCTCTTCCAGCAGAACTTCCGATAGCACAGGAGCAGATTAAAAGTAGAAAATTCGAAGATACAGGACAGCAATCACATGGATAAAATTTAACAACACAGGGCAGCAATTAATTGATGAAATTTCGGGCTTGGAGGAGCTGTCAACATACCAGAATTTCCAGCAAGCAAACCGAAGCTGCAGGTTGGGGGAGGCCGGCGGGAATGAAGGAGAATTTCAAGGGATCTACCAAAAATTGGAGAAACCAAGAGAAATTAAAGTAAACCCAAGCCAATTCAAGGAAGAAAAGAGGAATTAGGGGCTGTTTCCTTACCAGAAAACCCAAAAACTCACACCCACACACAGCCAAGGGCACGGACAGAGAAGAAAGAGCAGAGCAGATCCGGAAATTCTGCAGAGGGGGGGGGGGAATTTCTAAGCTTTAAATCTTGTTCTTGAACAAGAAAGAAGGGCAAAAACACAAGCTTTTTACCGTTTGTTTTTTCCAAGTGGGTGGTGTGTCGATGGCTGGGTTTTTGTTCGGTGCAGGGGAGAAGAAGAAGAGCAGAATCGGGCGGCTGAAGAAAGAAAGAAAGAAGAAAAAATCACCCAATCCTTATCCCCTTTTTCCAAATTTTATTCTTTTAAATCCCTCAAGTTTCGAAATATTCACTATTAGGCTCCAAACAATATTTTTCTCAAAATAAGTCCCTAACTTAAATGATAAAATTCCTGAAAATTTGGGATATTACATGTGTATTACCTATTACTTTCCAATTTCCTTCCCTTTCTTCTATTTTCATCCATAATTTGAAAGATCCATTTCTTCTAGTAAGTAAATGATGTTTGAAACAATGTCTCCCTTTTCTCCACAAGTCATCCTCCTCCAACACATGCAATTAGAACACTAAGCAAGAAGTGACTTCTCTTAGTGAAGAGAGCTCCATATTTTCCCCCATCTAAGCAACTATATTAGATTTTTATTAGGTTAGTTGGTGTAATATCCCAAATTTTCGGGAATATTTAAGTGTAAGTTAAGGACTTAATTGTGAGAAAAGATTGTTTTGGGACCTAATGTGAATATTTCAAAAGTTGAGGGATTTAAAGAGGAAAAATAATTGGATAAGGATGACTTCTTTTCTTTTTCTTTTACCTTCCTTCTTTCTTCGCCAGCCATTTCCCGATTCTGCTCATCTCTTCCCGCTGCAGCCACCCGAAAAAAAAAAAGGGGAACCCAGCCATGCCTTTGAGAAACCGGTGAGATAAGCTTGGTTTTCTCCTTCCTTTCTTGCTCTAGAACACACCTAGAACCCAGAAATCTTTCCCCCCTGCTGGAAAAGCCGGATCTGCCCTGCTCTGCTTTGTCCTTCCGCCGGCTGCTCTTGATTGTGGGTGATTTCTGGGAATTTTTTTTCGGTAAGAACAGCCCCTAATTCCTTTGTTCTTGCTTGAATTGGCTTGGGTTAACTTTGATTGCTCTTATTTCCTTCAATTTTGGGTAGTTTCCGTGAGCTTCCCCTGCAGATCCCGCCGGCCTTCCCCAATCTGCTAGCTCCGGTTCCTTGCTTGTAAATTCTGGTATGTGACAGCTTTTTAAGGCTTAAATTATCCATTTAAAGTTGCTTCTTGTGATGTCCGAATTTGGCTAGGAAATGGGGAAATTCCGGTAGCAATTAAGAGGGATTTAAGTGTGTTTTGTTGCTTAATTCAAGTGAGATTTATGTGATTGAGTGTTAGTTGGTTGTTGTGATTTTTGGAGAAAATCCCGTGAGATTAGCTAGTGTTTTGGCCAATTTTGTGGAAGTGGAGTTACTGTTCACGTCGGGGTACTGTTCATCGACACTGTTCACACACCGAGGGCCAACATTAACGGGGATTTAAATGGTTAGTTTGTGATATAAAAACGAATTTAGAGATATTTGATCATGTGGAGATTGATAGGAATAGCATCGGGATTAAGAGTGATCTTAATGATGATTTCAGTTTGAATTTGTGGTGAAACGATAATTAATTGTGGATATTTTGATTAGGTTCTTGATCGTTCTGTCAGTTAGTACGTGAATTGAGTGCTCGGTTTTATCCAAGTGAAGTAAGTAAATTTATGGTAATGCCCGTACTGTTTTAAAAGTATGTTTTGATTTGTTTTTGAAGTGGTGGCGAGACTAAACCCGTTTTACACAAGTATGATTGATTTGAAGTGAAATGTTTTGTGCTTTTCATGAAATTGAGCATGCCTACTTGAAATTTAAGTGACTGTCCTGATGATCTGAAAGTGATTGTGAATTGTGATTTTCCTGTTAACTTCTGCTTGTTTTGTCTCCGATGTGGTCATGTTATTCGTGACCTTGCTAGTGGGGGAGGTTATAAACGCTAGCACATGTCGACATGTTAGTGATAGAGCCGGTTCGTTCAACCCAGCTAGTGGGGGTTATACACCAGCAAATCGTGGCCCTGCTAATGGGGATTATACACTGGCCATGACCTATAGAGGAGACGTCTATTTTGTGCCCGTACTGTATCTATATTCGTGATTGTACTTGTTGGCATGCTTTAAGTTTGATAATGGGCACTCCATGTTTTACTTATTGAGTTTATCTCATAGTTTTCCTTGTCCACCATTTCAGGAAATGAAACCGAGGACAGGGAAACCACGGAAAGTGACGAGTTAGAAGGTTAGCTATTTCGAGATTGATTTAGATTCTAGAGATCATGATCTTGTAAGCTAAAGTGTATTTGGAGATTTATGATCGGAGAAATCTTATAATTTGATCTTCAGATTTTGATGGTATCAGATTGTGGTGTGATAAGTTCCGAGTCTTGTGCATTTGTGGGACCCGTCTCACGAGTGTACGGCGTCTGTCGCGTCTCGAAATTGGGTTTTGAAGTGTAACAGTTGGTTTTAGAAATAATTGGTTATCAATTGGGCTCAATAAATGTAATTGATTACAAATTAAGTAATGGGATATGTAAAAAGGGCATGTCAAAATATTTACTTCAGTCTCTACCATTTGAAATTTTTTTATCAGCCAAACATAAGTGATTCTATTTTCTAGTTAGAACAAAATATAATACAAACGTGAAAATTTTAATTTGCCCAAATTTATTTAACCAGGTAATGTCTTCCAAAGATTTTTTTTTCGTAAAAAAGGAAACTAAACACATCCTCAAAGTCATTATTTTCAAACCTGACCTGGCTTGATCAGTTGAATTAGTTTAATCATTTTTGGTTATAAATATGGTTCAAGTGAATACAAAAACTTGTTTATGTAGTTGGCCCGAACAAAACTAGTATGACTGGTGAAACCGAAAACCTAGTGACTCAACGAACTGACCAGTTCAATTTTAAGGAAGAAAAGAAAGTAAGGTGTTATTGGGTATTGAACAATAGCTTTCAAGATTGAAGTTTTAAGTGCTTTACCAGTTAAACAATTGTTTTGAAAATCAAACCAAATGGACCAATTCAATTGGTCATACAACACCAAAGCAACGAACCCCTTTTTGACATGAGTTGCAAAGAATATGTTTTAAAGAATATTACAAAGATTTTAAAGGAAAACTCTAGTGACTTTCAAGAGATTCGAACGCTTAAAATTACTTCTGTCACCTAATTTGAACCAAGTTTGTTGACTCTTGCCTTAAGATATGTTTATTATAATTTATTACATAAATTGAATAAATTTGGTGCATTCGAGACTCGAACCCAAGCTTTATTTAAGATAAGTAAGTGTTCCTAACCACTAGAGCCACTTTTAACTCTTTGAACTGAGTTGCATTATATTATATTTAATATATATTTCCAAACTTTAATCAACCCAATTTTTTAACTGGTTAAACTGATTTAATTGCCAAAAATGTGAGCCAATGGTCAAAACTATTTAACTTTTGGTTTGATTTTGAAAACATTGAGTTGAACTAAATGGGTTTTTCTTTTTTTTTTTTGAACATTTTGACATGGGGTGGGTTTGAAACCCGCCCAGAGGAAGAGGGAATGCACCTAGCAAGCTGGCTAATGCCAGTGGGCCGCTAGGTCCAGATGCGAACTACATGGGTTTTAATAACATGCTTTGCATGAAAATATATTTATTATACTTTAAATAATATAAAGATGGGCAATTAACAGTAAGAAAATTCGAACACTTGATCCATAATTTACATAAGAATACTTTAACCATGAAGCCATTTTGTGTTGTGGTGCTTGTTATGTACAAAATTATTGATGGTATCATCTGGTCAAATCATTCATTTTGACCGATCTAATCAATTTAACTAGAACCAAAAGTCAAAATGAGTTGACTTCCAATTTAGATTTAAAAGCACTGCTTAGAGTATTTTTAGACAAATTTTTTACATGTACTCATAAATCAAACACAACTACAGTATTTTTTTTATGGTCTTAAAATTTATTTGTACTTGATTTATTTTTGGTATAATTGGTGGGCTAGTAATTCATGAGTTGAAATTTTTATATCTATTAATGTAAAATATTTATCTTGATATTATTAATATTTGGTTGAGTTTTATAAGATTTTATTTGATTTTATATAATTTTTATTTTATGTGTAAGAACAAACTTAATTTGAAGAAATCATAATTTTTAAGACCAAACTATAGAGATTATAAAGTTGAGGATTAAGGCCCTGTTTGGTATAACGGTTTTGAGGTAGCGGTTAGCGGTTTTACCTAAACTGCTAAATATAGGTGTTTGGTAAATTTATATATTTCGAAACCGTTACAATTAAAGCGTTTGGTAAAATTTTTATTTAGCGGTTTGAAACTAGCGGATAGCGGTTAGGGTCCAAATCACTAATGGATTAAAAAAGCTAATTTATGTAGCTTTTTGTACCAAACCGCTAGTGGATTAGAATTTTTTAATTTTATTGACAAATTTATCCATTTTAATTTTTTAATTTGT